GAATATAGATTTCAAGGTCTAAAAGAAATAATAAAGTCTTTTGAACAGTATTACAGAAATTTGAAGCTCAACTGATAGTTCAAGAATGGTGCGGTAGCAGAAGCAAGTATTATGCTTTCTCTTCCAATTATGCTAGACAAAGCTGCTGAGTTGTACCTACTGCAATGCAATCCGGCAAACATAAGATGATTTGACTATATCTTTATAAGTACAAAAAACAACTCTGAAACAAATCAATGCTAATATCGTTTTGTTTTTAAACAGGTTTCTGCAGTCTTTATTTAACAGAAATGACAAAAATAAACTAACTTCTCCTTCAACAGTGAGAATAAATTCTTTTCCCCAGTTGTTTGTTGTTTTTTCAGGTTTCAGACAACAGTAGCAGCTGACAAACGTCACCCTAAACTTAAAAAAAGCAGTTTGTTTTTTTTAAAAATGACAAGAGCGAGCGACCTGAACGTTTTCAAATAAGTTTTACATATGAAAGCAAACTAACGTCATGTTGACTAATGAGATTGAACTATATTTTTTTGGTTTTGCTATTTCTTCAAATTCACTCAGTAAGCCTTTGATTTCGTCAACAGATTTTAACAGACGCTCCTCAGCTTCTTCCGGAAAGAAATTAGAGGAGCGAGCGCAGCTGATGGCAGTTTCGGCTTTATCTCCTGTTATCATCCAGACGCGAATTTTCGCATTCAGTAGTGACTGAATTGTTTCAGGAACATCCTAGATGAAAACGATTTTATGAATAAAGGTAATTGTAATGCAAGATTCACATTGCAGTGAAAAAATTCAAGAAGTAAAAGACTTCAGCATAATTCAACTGATAAAAAAGACTTAAAAATATAAAACTTCTTGCAAGATATCTTCTAAAGCTGCCACTCCAATCAAAGTCATATCGTTTTCAATGTCAATAGTTTTCCGATAGTTTTTGGCCCAGTCGTCGTAAAAATTCTTCTCAAGAACTCGATATGCAAAGCATAGTGTACGGTATCCCTCAAAATTGCTGTATTATAAACTATCTTTTTCTCACAAACGAATTAAGCAACTAAAAACCATTGATCAGCTCTTTAATTACAACAGAATAAAGTAAGCTAATATAAAAAAATTAGTGAAATAAATACAAAGCATAATCGTAAATAGCAGAGTAACAGACTATTTGAGATGTACCATTTTTGCATATTCTTCAAGTTTGTTGAATTCATTTTCATATACCAATTTTGAAATTAAGCGTTTCTTTATTTCACAGTCCTGAAAGAAAAACTAGATGAGAATTCCTTAAAAGCACAAATAACGAGTACGTAAATTAGAAAGTTTCAAAAAATTAAGTGACAAAAACCAGTACTGCTCCTTTTAAGTAGATTTTAATTGCCTTGTCGGGACACTGGACAACAACGCTCATTCTCATTCTTTCGCTTGTGAAACCAAGAACATCAAGTACCTTATACTTTTCTGATTTCCCCTGTAAAAAAAATAACGTCTGTCAAAAGGAAACCGGCAAAGCAAACAGGCATTTATTAGAAGTGGCATCTGAAAACTGACAAGCGATTCTATAGTGAACTGACAACTCTTTTTATTCGATAACTAAAATCTGATTTTTCATAGAAAATTTGTTGCATTGCATTTTCAAAATTACAAAGAAAGAAAACTGCAATAGCTTACAAAAACAAAAAACATTAATCTGATCGATTTTCAGAGTAGTATATTGTGTATAAGTTACTCTCATCTCTCATTATCAAATTGATGCGAATCAAGTCGTGAAAATAAAAATAAGGCGAAAAAAATTGCATTAAAACAGATCGCTTTTAAAACTAAGACAGCGACCCACTAATTCGTTAAATCTCTTTAATATGTGACGCAGAAGTTTTGAGCGCAGCTTTTTTATTGGCCTGAGTAGAACTGATGCTTCTAAGCAAAAAAAGTCAAAAATTTCTGCTCTAACACAGGTTACTTGGCTTTACAACCAGACATATCCGTTTTAAAAACTAACGACTTACGAGTGCGGTTTCATTAAATTTACCACTGCGCAGTGATTAAAAATTGTTTGGTCAGTTTTTTGGTAATCTTTAGTAGAAAAAGCCAATAAAATACCTCCTCGGTGATCTCAACTGATTCAGATGTTCGGTTCTGAAGACTACAGCCTAATACTTCAGCTTCTTGAAGCAAGGCTACATCCTCAGGAGATAATCCATCATACGCCCCTTGGTCAATCCTAATTGCAGCGTTACAGATGACCAATGAGTGTAAAAATTCTCGTAAAAGTTTTCTTGAGTAATTTTTATCAGACTGAAATTCATTTTTGAACTATAAGGAAAGAATAAGTGGTAAATGTAAGCAGAACCTATCGGAATAGTGTTAGAAAACTTAGAAGTGGTTCTAAATGAGTTACACTTAAATTCTGCAAAACCATAAAAAACATTTTGCTCTCGTTTCTTTCTAACTTTACTTCTTCTTTCTTGTCATCTTGTCGTAAATGGCGTTTTCATCGTATCTTTTTTTTATTTCCCGTTTCAAAAGTACTTTGTTATAAGCTACACTTTGTTGTAGCTATAAAATTTGATTCTGCTTTTTTTCAAAAAGTATAGCGAAAACTCAGCTGTCATCAACTTTTTTTCAAATGTTTTTATTAAAGAATTTTTATACACCCTAAAATTTACGACTTTTTTATCTTCCCTTTTTTCTCCTCTCTTCTCTTCGCGCTCTAATTTGAGTCAGACTGACGGAGTGCAGAAAGCAAATAAAAATGAGTGACGCAATAACCTTGCCAGAAAATAATGATTTTTGCACATGTCATATAGAATTTTGAAAAGTACCAAAAACTGCATATAAATAAAAAAAAGCTTAAAGTGTTACACTGTATAGAAAAGACAATGCGAAAACACTTTTTAAGAGTGACAAAAAAATGCAACTACCGTTGTAGCGTCTTTGGAGTTACTTAGTTCTGTGCAAAAAGAATGACGACCATCTTCATCACTACTATATTCTTTACCAGCAACATACCATTTTCCAAGCGTCGTCTTATTTTTTGTTATAGTTCCAGTTTTGTCACAAAATACAAAATCCACCTAAATCGCACAAATTAAAAAGATCAAGAAATTAGACACGTGAGAAACTATTTTGCTAGTTTTAGTCTTGCAGTTCTATGCATAATGCAAAAAACCTCAATTTTACAAAATTACTGTAAAAGTTCTCCCAAAAAATTAAATTCTTGTTATATAAGGCTAAAACAGAAAGTCTTGATTCTTAAGTATAAATGCTAAACTTGGCCAGCACAAATAAACAGACCAATTTTTGGACTGCGAAAACTGAGTGATCAACTGTACAAAGCGCATCTAAACAGCATGAGAGATACTTGACAGATCTGCACCGATTAGCCGATGTCAACAGTTTATTAAACATTTTAGTAACCTAAAACCTCATAAACCTGTCGTAACTATTCGTCTAATTCTCCCGGATACTACACTGTTTGATTGATATCTTCAACTCGTTCCACTGGCATTTCCTCTAAATTTCTAATTTCGAATTGATTATAAAATACTGCCCAGATAAAACAGGTCAAAAATTGAGTTAAACGAAAAGTCATGCCTTTTGACTTCCTCATTGAGTACTAATAAAGCTTTAATTACAGTTCTAGTAATATTTCCTGTATAGTACCAAATAAGCATCTAATTAAACTGTCGCAAGCAGATTTTTTATTGGAAGAAGTCAGCACTGTTTGAAATAATTTGACATGAGCCGAAACCGATCAATGCAGTTGTCATTATTGTACAAGAACGCTGTTCCCAACAGTAACACTCTTTCCTAACTCTATTGTATTAATACATTTTAAAACATCTTGAGCTTCACAACTACGTTTAGAACTTTTAGATCAACCTGATAAGAGTAAGTGCTACAAAATAAATTTCTTTATTTTCATTTACAAATTGATGTAGTGATGCTTTCTGTTAGGACCATAGACCAAATATGTACCCTGCTGAAGATATAAAATCCATTATTGTTTTCAGGAAATCAGACGCTGTAAACCTCAGCAATTGTACAGTCATGGCACAATCTGTAAGGGGAACCCACTCAGTCTCTGAGTTAACCTTATGTCTGCAGAGCTTGTCGTTGCCATTAGATTCTTCCTTAGGTATTTGTGTTACAAGGCCACTATCAGTACTATAGCGAGCTTTTGGCATAGTCGTTTATCCATTCCTTGTTTTATTGATCATTTATTTATTCTGTTCTTCTACTAATTAATTACTGAGAGTTATGCCCTCCTTGTACTGTATCATTTTTAAACGCAAAGAACTAAAACTCAAAATTATTCTACCAGCTAGTGTAAGAAGTTTTATTAATATTTATCCAATAAAGATATTGGTGAAAAAAGACATGAACTTTCCAAAACCTGGATTTTCGACTCTTTAACAAGACTAACAATAAGTTTATAACAATGAATTCCCCAAATAACGCTGTGCTCTTCTACTCCAGCTTTTTTATCCCATTTTTAAAAGAATCACTGCATTTTTAATATAATTTCTAGTCGTCAAATGTAATTAAATTTTTGTTTGCTGATAACGCACACATTATTTTTTTCACCTTTCTTTTTTTAAATTACCTTTTTTAAAAGCAAAGAAGTACAACTTACAATTATCCTACTAGCTAGTACTAAAAGTCTTATTAATCTTTGCGCCCAAATATGTCTCAGTTACAAAAGCATATTCACAAATTTTACTTTAGTGATTTCTCCTAAGTTAAAGACATATATATCAAAAATATAATAAATGAAATAAATGCAAACCTGTCCTAACTCTTCGTTTAAGTTTGAAGTTTGTGCGGTTTTAAGGAAATCTGAGTCTTCGTCATAAAGTTCCAAATCCTTTAAAGAAAGCACTTAGTCTAAATTCTACAGCAATACTGCAAGTTTCAGTTAATAAAAATGAAACTTATCATAACAATGTTGAGTGAAGTGTGGTACGTACAGAGTTAATGTAAATGGCTTGAACAAATCGAACTATTTCTAGCCAGACTGTCAATGAAATGGGTACAATATTGTAATATAAAAACAACAGAGAAAGTATAAAATCCCAACACGGAATACGGTGGCCTAAAACAACCACAACTTCACAAAGCTTCAAAAGTAACAAAATTTAATTAGTGGCTTACTCAAAAGCAATAAAAGCATTTCATCGAAAATAAGTCAAAACTGAAATAATAAAAAAATTTCTGCACTTGAATGCCGTCAACCATTTCCATAACAGCTTCTTACCTTATTACCGTAAGCTACATTTATGAGATTACAAAACCTGTCAAAAACCGCTTAAGCTCTGCTTTTTGAAGAGCTGCATTTACTATACCCAGGTTCTGCCTTATGGGGAAACCATGGCTTTACCGTATTACAATAACTACTTCACAAGCAATTAACTAAATTTTTCAAGGCAGGATATAAAATTTACATCTGAATGACCTACTGGGTTCTTTGAAGTCAGTGACTGAAATAATAAAAAGTTGCTGACCGAAAACATAGAGGTATTGAGAGTTCAACAAGAAATAACTTTTGCAAAATATGGCACCAAAAAAGTTAATCACCAGGAGACATGCCAATAAAGCAATAAGAACTGCGATTCCATTGTTTTTGATTCTACTAAGCTTTGACCTTAAAAGAGAAAAGAAGTATAATTATGTAAAGATTAAGTTTTTTCAGTTCTGTCATATAGCCTAAACATCTCATAATTTGCTCGCTGCATTAGAAGAAAGCAAGAGGATTAAAAAAAATGTGCTTTTAAACTTTCTTTTAGTGTTGAAAACAAGGTTAGGAGGTACTACTTCTTCGTAACACATCAAAATAACAGCCCGCAGTGACAGCAACAAATTTGTGAGAGATCACTCAGAAATTTTTGTGTTTCACGGTTTTAAAGATAAACTTTGATATTTTTGTTCTGATTTCTACTTATCATTAGCAACTTCTTTGTTTGTCGTTAACATAGCAACAAAAGAAATTTTACAAACTAAAAAAAATTACCGTTTTTAGTGACTTTTAATAATTTGCCTTACTCTGTGTATTTAGTAAGATAAATCATGGTTTAAAAAAGTTAAAACCTGAAAATGTTTTGTCTAGTTTGCCCTGAGCCACAAGCTAAGTTTTTTTGCTGACGAAAATACGAGTATAAAAACACTTAGATTTTCAATAACAGCTTTTTAATTCCAGAAAGAACAGGTTTTAATACGTTGTAAGTCTCTTAACTCACCCATAGTAATCTAAGCATTGCATTGATCTTCAAAAATACTTACAAAACTAAATTATGGTAGTAATAAGCTATACTTTTTAAGCGGTGAGGATGCTGAATTCATCAACAGTTTTGTCTCTTTTCCAGTATACATTGCCACGCCGAAAATCCAACTCGTATGTACCAATCGTGTACCGCGAAGCAAAAATTGATCGACTCCTATAAATTTTACGCTACAATCATGCTGCTATAAACTGTAGTGTGTCCCTTTTTGATATTTCGGTTTTATCAAACAAGCAAAGATTCTAACAAAAGAGACGACTTGGCTGGCTGTTCTGGTGAGATAACTAGCAAAAAATTGATTTTTTTATGCACGAATGAGCTTTCCGGCTACTTATCAATGGGAAATGAGAGAGTATTCATTTCTGCTTCAAAGTTACTATGTAGCGTGGTCTCAAAATTGTATCTAACGTGCCATTCAAGGCAATCAAAGTGAATCATTTATGTGTTGTGGTATTAAATAATTTATACAAAAGACTTTTCAATAACACAAGCTAAAACTCGCCTAAATCGTACGTCTCCTCGCCCACGATCATTTTTCCTACAAACGCCTTCAAGTTTTTATTCGGAGGCTCACATTCGATCTTGCAAGAAAATTTTTTATTTTCTACGTCGTTTGATTCTAACTTCAAGTCCAAAGCGTGATGTAATTTGAGGTTGGTTTCACCATCTAATTTTGAGGTTTCTACAAGACACGTTCCATTCTTCTCGCTTGATAAGAGCAGTAGCAGGTCAGCTGGAAAAAGCTCACCGTCGTTTACTTTTACGATGTCACCAACAACAACCTGAATTAAGCAACGCTCCAAAAAGAGCCAAGAAGTGATCATAAAGGTATTTAAAGACTCAAGTTTCTTAGAAGATCCAAAAATTGAACTCAGTAGTGGTTTTCTTCATATTTGATAGAAAGGTCGATAGCATTCTTTGCAACGCAATATTTCTACCGTTTTCCGACTACTGCACAGACAGTTTAGATCAACATCGTCTTAAATTTAGTTTTTTGATTTATTGAACTATAACATCTTTTGTCAAAAGCTCTTTAAAAAAATTCTGTCAAATGTATTAAGAAAAATGTTTAAACATACTTCTCCCCACTTTGAAGACTCCCACCCTGTAGCTTTTAGAACATTAGTCGGGAAAGCATTTATTTTTTCATCACACCTTTTTCTCTTCTAAAACGAGCCATTTGATTTCAATAATTAGCAGTTTTGCAGCATATATAATCAGTTACAAATATGTGTCAATCAGTTTTTATAAAACTCAAAATTAAAGAAATGCTAGAAACATAAAACTGACTTTATATTCCCAAAGTTCTTTAAAGCAGAGGATGATCAAAGAAATAAGGTATATTGCAATTGTTAGACAACAATTTGAACTTTCTTCAAAACAAATCTGAAATCTTAGAAAGATTAAATGTACCTTGAAGGGGTTTCAAGCACAGTTTTCTGAAGCAGTTTATGATTACAAGAACTCTTTATGATACACCGACAAAGTGCCAAATGGTTGACTATTTATTTGCTTCAAATATTTCTGTGACTCAGCATAAAAATTAAAAAAAAACAGAAAATTAAGAATTAGAGCGTGATAAAATTACTTTTAAAAGGATTATCACAAAGTAAAAGAGGTTGATATATTGGCGAAATTGTCGTTTTAGGAGTCTGGACACGAATGATCGTACTGTATTTTTACAAGTGCTGAAGAGCAAAACGAATATGTAAAGTAAAGAAAAAAATTCTGGGTAAACCAAATACGAAAGTTTTAAAACATTTGCCTACCTAATAGCGTTAGAAACAAAAATATTATTTTTCTCCGTTTTATTTATATAAATTGTCCTGCAGGTATACTTCCACCAGAACTTTTTGATCAGTTGTGAAATATGGTCTTCTATCACTTCTATCACAGAATTCCTAAAAAAAAGTAAGCCTAAAAAGGCATTTTTTTGCAACAAAATGTAAAAATAATTACACTATAAAGAAAAAAAAAACCCTGGAAAAATAGTGTAAACATTTGCACTGCTATGGTGGAAAAAAAGTTAATTGTCAAAGAAGCGAAATAATGAGAAACATAGTAAACAATTACTTTTATCATTGGTCCTAATTGCTGTTTACAGATTTTTTGTATTTAACTTATCCTCAACTTCTGTTATTTATAAACCAAGTTCTCAAATTTTAAAGAATACATATACGGTAGAAATTAACCCTGTCCCTATGATCATTTTCTGCATTTCTTTTTAAAATGTACAGGACATATACAAATTCGTTTTCTCCTACTTCTGTTTGATAATATTTTTGAAATTTTTATTCTGTCAAGATAAAAAATTCTCTAAAATACAAGTGCAGCACTTTCACAACCAATACGAAGAAAAGCTCTGTTAATGAGTAACAAATAAAAAATAATTTTTAGAATTACTTCATATAGAAGATAAAAAATTCACTTACATTTACAAAGTCAGTAGTCCTGCTGATTCTCGAGAAAAAAAGTGATAAAATTTTGAAGAAATTATATGAGAAGTCTGAGCAGCAATCACCTTGTAGAACTGCAAAAAAATTTTAGTTTATAGAATTTAAGAAAGAAACAGGCCAAAATTGCTAACTTTAAATTTTTCAAATTTCGTTTGATTTAACATTTCGAACAAGAGGACAATTGACGATTGGTGGCGTACATTCAGTATATTTCTCATCAGCAACAACCAAATACATTTTAAAAATACTTGTACAACTGTTCAGTAATGTAATACTTTAACTAGATGCCTAAGTTCTACTTCGTTTGTGAATTACTGTTCCAAAAGGTAAATAGACTGTAAGTGCTAAAACTCATTGAACAAAACACCTAATAGGTTGGACAAATTATAACTAAAAGCAGTTAGCTGCTATTTTTAGTCTTTTAAATTTTCTTGATGAATAACACTTGTTTAATGCACCAAAATTTCTTCTAGCTAGTTCTAATTTTAGATACATTTTCTCGTTAACTATTATTATCACTTGCTCGCATCTTTAAAAATCAAAAAAAAAAACAAAAAAAGAATTTTAAACACTATACACAGAGAGTGAAACAGGTTTAAATAACCAATTAAACAGATAGATCGGTTTCGAAATAATATAGACTTTAATAAATGATTCTGCTAAAGTAAGATTATTATCGATTGCAGGTGACTGTTATCACTTTAGCATTTATTCAGCAGTAAAAAATTCATAACTCTTTCATAAGTGTCAATCAATTCTGGTCAGCACATAAACAATAAAGAACTAAAATTTACAGATTTTAAATTCTTTAAATGTGGGATTCAAGTCAAAAGGAATTCAGCAATAAAGGTAGTTGTCAAAAACAACGCTTCTTAGCAGTCTTCAGTGATGTTTTGTTTAACAGTAGTAATTCTTTATGGCAACATGCACATTCTTCTTCATCATTCTCGTTCCCCACCAATTATTGTTTTGAAGCAGCAGCACCTGAAAATCTTGCCATTATGTCATGCAGATTTCAGAAAAGAAGATAGCAAGCCAGGGTGACAAGTCATGATTGAAACTATAAGGAAAGATATGTTTTAAGGCTGCTAAAACATGTTATTTTGAAGTTAAAAAATGCTACGAAAACCAAAACTTATTATATTTTTGTTTATTACAATAACTTAGTTTATCATCTCAAATTCTATTGCGCCAAATCTTTTCTAGAAATCAAGTTCTAAAAAAATTTTTGACACTCCGATTTCAGCGCAACATGAGTTCCTATGAGTATCATGAGATATATACTTGCATAACTGCAGAATAAGTACCATTTATTTGTTCT